ATCGTTACAAGCGACAGCAATCCTGCACTTGCGATATTTTCTACTTCATTGCACCACTGAAATTGCATATTTGTGTTAAAAGATCTCTTAGCTCAATTAATAAATGAACGTGTTTTGTCTCACATAAGCGGGTTACTGATTTACCTCAAACATAAATCATCAGCTATCTTATAATGTAAGCAACTCACCTCAATCATGTTTTTGTCCGGCTTTGTTCTATCTGCAAAATTCTTGAATATATCAAGCTTACAGTAATTGTTCCCCCTACAAGCTCCTATTTCTTGAGTTATGGGATAGATAGTATGGTTTCCATCGCGATTTGCATGATATACTATCTAAATTCATTGCTTTGTCAAATCATAATAAATTGTTAAAATTATATTCCTCAACTTGGAAGTAGGGCTGCTTATTCGTTTTGTCCCTATATAATTCTATGAATATAGCTGCAGAATAAGCCGCGTATCCTTCGGGTATCGTTAGATTAGACTGAACAAGTCCCAATATAGAGAAGAAGCCATACACGGTTGTGTCGTGCTGAAAATATGGCACATTACATCAGCATGTGTGTGTGTGATTCCCTGTGACAATATGCATACTATAATTATTACACTTACACCTGAATAAGCATAATATTTCAATCCATTCATCCATTTACACAAAGAACTGTCAGATCCATCTAAGCATTCCATTTTCAACTGCATATGCTTATTAATCTCGTTGAACAATGATCCTCCACGAAGTTTCTGAAGTTCAACTCCTATGTCAATGTTGTCGACAACTGCAGGTTTGCCTAGAGAAGTTGCATATTGAGGGCATACTGTATCATATAGGCTGTTTTAGTGGTAAACATATTATCAGCGGCAATAATGCAGGACTCATCAATTTCTCACAATATTGGCAATGACTATGTTAGTGCTCAACTGAATCGAAAAGGAAACATATTACTCTGCGATTGCGTAAATTTTAGTTAGTTGATTAAATGACTTTCATTAAATTCACACTTCTTTGAATGGTAGCTTCATAATGGTAATTTTAACCTTATTTTATCATGCCTAAACGCAGAATTTCAGCGAGTCTCAGAGAGGGGTGCATTTGGAGCAGATTGAATCATGCAAAGTAATTCACAAACTTACTAAATAAACCATTTTTGAATCGTTCTATGCGAATGTCAATGTCAGTCATCTCCTCAAAAATTTTATCCGAAAACCATTTAGTTTTGCTGCGTACCTCCTCTTCTTTGTGGATTAGCTAAAATGAAATAGAATATTTGCAAAAAAAAATCATTATAATGTGAGAATGATGGATAATTACTGCACAATAAAGCCTATTATTCATTTGATACAAATTGCAATGATTGAAAATGTCAAAAAATCTCTTAAAAGGTTTTACATTTAGCATAAATTGAGAAGATATTGCATTGTTCTTCGTCTTTGCCCGAATCATTTGAAATTTGCATTTTAAATTTCATCAGAGCCTATATGGAACCTCACATCTTTAATGAGCGTTCATAACAAGAGGAGACGTCTATGACAAAAAAGAATTAAGGCTATTTTGGAAAAAACTATAAACTTAGAATTCCTTACCAGTGAGGCAAGTGTCGATGAGAAAGATCATTTCGAATGCCATCATCCTTAGAAAACTTTTATCGGTTAAATCAAACAAAGCTGTGACTAAAAAATTCGTGATGTTATTTCTGCTAAGATAGTGGAGTTCAGATTGTCTGGTCCTAATGACGACGAAACCCAAAGCCTAGATCAATAAGTGTCTTTGGTCACTCTAGTTTAGGCTAAATTAAGGTATCGTTAATATGCCTTTAAACGTGACCACGTCTGAATAAACTACAGCAAAAGATATATAATTTGCAATACTTCGCCTTCAGAAAGATTTGGTTAAAGTGTAACTGAGAGCATTAGAAAGCTGATGAAACTTGGTTAGGAAAATGGTATGAAAGGGAGGCATTGAAAATTTCAACTGAAAGTGACAAATAGTCTATCAAAAAATATTAGTTTTAGTAGAGCCCAACAAGAGAATGCACTAAACTCCTAATCTTCAGTATTTGCAGATGCTTTTCAAAAGCTGATTGCAAAATCAACATCGCATAACTACTAATTAGCCTTTCTGAAAGAAGATGAAAATTAGCGCACGACAGCTTCTATAAAAGCTGAAGCAGCTGCTAGCAAGCGCACTTGTGAAGATTCCTCTCAGGGTAAAGACCTTCTGTATTGCTATGACAAAGTTGACTATGAGAACAGTCGATTGTACTACCGAAGAGCTTTTCTTTTATAGAGTTGTTTTCTCGATGCCAATAATAGATGGCATTTAGCAGTTGGGAATTACTTTAAATCTAAGCATTCTTTTCTGAATTTTTTAAGAAAGGCAAAACATGAAGAATGAGAGTTGTCAATGTTTTAGTATTGTTCCTTCAAAATTTCACGTTACATTGCTTTTACAGCTGTGCTTACAAATCTAGGATTTTGTGGCAATTGGTCTCCTATCTTGAGTGGCGTAATACAGGCATTTTCAATGTTTAATAGGGGTAGCAAACCAACCTCTATATGTAGAAGATCACGTATCTCCCAAAGATTGTCCTCATTAACTTCTTGACCACAATTTCTGGTGAGGTTTTTGAGTAGATTTACCACCTAGAACAATTTTTTAGCCTTTTCAAAAATTACCGTAAATAGCGAGATTATCTTGTAGAAGAAATGATTTCGGGAAGTATGTGGTTCAACAGCAAAAATGTCTAGGATTTTTCCTCAAAAAGCAAAAGTTGTTTTATAGATTTCTAATGCACTCCATCTAAGGTAGGCTCTAATTTTTTTCGACTCACTCTGTCTTGGCTGAGATACGTTTTGACTTCTTCTAATTCCTTTGCCATCTTCCATATTCGGTCACGCCGAGCGCAGCGATCATTAGCAATAATGACCTAGAAAACATTGATAATTATTTTTCTCTTGAAATTCTCAGAAATGCCGAGTATTGAGGACTGATGACTATTTTGAATTTAAACGAACTTGCATACTACATTGTTTAAGTCAAAAATTGAGGGACCTTAGAAATTCCTGCGCAAAGAATACTATCGACTCAAATTTCTGACTGCCCAGAAAATGGCTTATAGTAAATACAATTGTAAAGCCTACATAATCAGGGCGATGCACTGTGTGCACGGGAATTGGCACATATCCTTTCGGCCAGCCTGATATGCCGGGATAGTCAACACCTTCAATACTGTTCGTGTTGTTCACACTATACATGCCCAGTACATTTGCCATCGCCGACACTATGGTCCTATTGTAATCAGAAGAACGAATGTAAATCTGTAAAAGTGAA